TGCCTTGCTTCCCCTTCACCTTCAACCATGATTGTAAGTTTCCTGAGGCCTCCTCAGCCACGTGGAACTGTGAGTCAATTAAACCTCTTTTCTTTATACCTAGTCTCAAGTAGTTCGTTATAGCAGTGTGAGAACGGACTAATACAAAGTCGAATTAAACAATACACTCCTAATAACCAACAGGTAAAGATTAAATCAAACACATTAGAAAATACTTTGAGAAGAATGAAAATAAAGATACAATGCAACAAAACTTATGAAATACATTGCAAACGGCATGTGGAGGGAAATTTATACTTGTAAATTCCTATTTTAACAAAGAAGAAAGATCTCAAATCAATAGCCTAACTTTCCATTTTAAGACACTGAAAAAAGAAGAGCAGACTAAACCTAAAGCAAGCCGAAGTAATGAAATACTAAAAATTAGAGTGGGCCAGGAGTGGTTGCTCACACCTATAAATCATAGCACTTTGGGAGGCTGAGGCAGGGTCAGAAGTTTAAGACCAGCCTGAGCAACACAGTGAAACACTGTCTCTAGTAAATATACAAAAATTCGCTGGCTATGGTGGCCTGTGCCTGAATTCCAGCTACTCATGGGGCTGAGGCAGGAAAATCGCTTGAACCCGGGAGGCGGAGGTTGCAGTGAGATGAGATCATGCCAATGCATTCCAGCCTGGGTGACAGAGTGAGACTCTGTCTCGAAAAAGAAAAAAAAAAAGGAAAGAAAAAAAATAGAGTGGAAATTAATAGTATAGAGAATAGAAAAACAATAGGGAAAAAAAAGTGAAAGCAAAAGTTGGCTCTTTAGAAAGATCAACAAAATGGAGAGGCAGAGGCCTGGCAGTGGCTCAAGTCTGTAATCCCAGCACTCTGTGGGGCAGAAATGAGTGGACTGCTTAAGCTCAGGAGTTGGGGTGGGAAGGGGGTCCGGGCATGAGGAGTGTGGGATGTGGCTGAGGCAGAAAAACCCTTGAGTCCCAGAAGTTAAGGCTCATGTGATGGCGCCACTGCACTCCAGACTGGGAGACAGAGTGAGACCCTGTCTCAAAAATAAATAAATAAATAAGGCCAGGAGTGGTGGCTCATGCCTTTAATCCCAGCACTTTGGGAGGCTGAGGTGGGCGGATCACAAGGTCAAGAGTTCGAGACCAGCCTAAACAACATGGATAAACCCCAACACTACTGAAAAAAATAGAAAACTTAGCCGGGCATGGTGGCACACACCTGTGATCCCACCTACTTGGGAGGCTGAGGCAGAAGAATCACTTGAACCCAGGAGGCAAAGGTTGCAGTGAGCTGAGATTGCACCACTGCACTCCAGCTGGGTGACACAGCAAGACTCTGTCTCAAAAAATAAATAAATAAATAAATTGTCTAAGAAGAAAAGTGAGAAGACAAATTAGAAATGAGAGCGAGGACAGTCCTACCAACCTATTTTATAAAAAGAATTATAAAGAAATACTAAAAACAATTGTATATCAACAACTTAGGAAACTTAGATGAAATGAACCAACTACGAAAACTGACTCAAGAACAGATCATTTGAATAGGCCTACAACAAGTGAAGAGATTGAACTAGCAATAAAAAACCTTCTAACAAAGAAAAGTCCAGGTGCAGATGACTTTACCACTGAATTCTACCAAATAATTTAAAGAAAAATTAATGCCAATTTTTCACCAACTCTTCCAAAAAACAGAAAAAAAAAAGTAATTCCCAACTCTTTCCATCAGACTGGTATTATCCTGATACCAAAACCAGATAAAGACATTATAAGAAAAGAAAACTGGCTGGGCATGGTGGTTCACGCCTGTAATCTTAACACTTTGGGAGGCCAAGAAGGGTGGATCACCTGAGGTCAGGAGTTCAAGACCAGCTTGACCAACAAGGCAAAACGCCATCTCTACTAAAAATACAAAAATTAGCCGGGTGTGGTAGTGGGTGCCTGTAATCCCAGCTACTCTGGGAAGCTGAGGCAGGAGAATTGCTTGAACCCAGGAGGCAGAGGTTGCAGTGAACTGAGATCGTGCCACTGCACTCCAGCCTGGGTGTGACAGAGCAAGATTCCATCAGAAAAAAAAAAAAAGAAATTAAAAAAAAAAAAATATATTATACCAGGAGCAACTGAGATTTTTCCTAGGGATAAATGTTGGTTCAATGTCTGAAAGTTAATTAATGTAATACATCACATCAACAGAATAAAAAACAAAAATCACATGATCATGTCAAAAGACACAAAAAAAGAAAATGACAAAATCCAATACCCTTTCTTGATAAATGTACTCAACAAACTAGGAATAAGTAAATTTCCTCGCTTGTAATCCCCGCACTTTGGGAGGCCAAGGTGGGTGGATCATTTGAGGTCAGGAGTTTGAGACCAGCCTGGCCAATATGGTGATACCCCGCCTCTACCAAAAATAAAAAAATTAGCCAGGTGTGGTGGGCGCCTGCCTGTAATCCCAGCTACTCAGGAGGCTGAGGCAGGAGAATCAAATGAACCCGGGCGGTGCAGGTTGCAGTGAGCGGAGATTGCGCCACTGCACTCTAGCCCAGGTGACAGAGCGACAGAACACTTGCCAATTCTGTCCAACACCGTATTGGAGGTTTTAGCCAGGGCAATTTCTTTTCATTTGCCTCCTCAACTGACAAATCGGTGGCATGAAGAATAAATAGTTTCAATAGTTTCATCTTTATTCCTCATGACTAAATATCTTCGTACAGCCAGGCACGTGGTGTCCACCTATAATCCCAGCTACTTGGTAGGCTGAGGTGGGAGGATCACTTAAACCCAGTAGTTCAAGACCAACCTGAGCAAAATAGGAAGACTCTATCTCTCCACTATAAAAAACAAAAACAACAAGAAAAAAACTTCGTCTAAAAGTTTTATGTCCTTTCCCAATTCCTGCAAATATTTCCAAAATGTTCCAATCTCATGTGCTGTAAAGAACTGTGCTTTGCACCTAAAAAATGATTTGGATTATTTTTAACTCAAAGGTCATTCAAGTTCAGAGAGTTATATATGGCGTTACTACTCAGTTTTTAGAATTGCAAACAGAAGAAACTGAAACTCTTTACCAATACACATGAATGTACACTTGTTATAAAGTTCCACATATTTTTCATTTTCTGCTCAACACTTTCACTGTATAAAAGAAGGAAAAACTTAGAAAACAGAAGTAATGATGCACAGAGTTATCAGATATCAATGGTGGCAATGCTTTTCTAGATACCTAAACAGAAAAAACTGTGTTAAAATTTTGCTCACATTAGTTAGAACATTTGTTATTTAATATGTATCACCCTGAAAGGTATTTAAGGACAGACATAAATAATTTTACTTTGAAATGCTTAGATTTTTGGTTATAGTATATGATAGACAAAAAAGAAAGCTCTTATAAAATGAGATTTTTCTGGGCTCCAAGTCCCTTTCTCTGTACTGTATTTTAATAATTATAAAAATAAAATCATTTAAAAATAAGACAATTTTAAAAGCACATATGTGGGAGAATATAGCTATAAAGGAGTGGCACAGGGGAGGTTTTTGGGGTGATGGAACTGTTCTGCATCCTGATTGTGTGTGTGATTTCAGATGGTGGGAGTGGTTCTACACTCTCAGTGTATTAACATGGTACACAAAAACAAAAAGTCAATTTTACCATATGTTAATTTTTAATTAATTGTTTGTTTGTTTGCTTGTTATGAGACAGAGTCTCACTCTGTTGCCCAGACTGGAGTGCAGTGGTGTGATATCTGCTCACTTCAGCCTCCACCTCCCGGGTTCAAGCATTTCTCCCACCTCAGCATCCCAAGTAGCTGGGATTACAAGCACACAAAAATTATCCACACACCTGGATAATTTTTGTATTTTTAGTAGAGACGGGGTTTTACCATCTTGGCAGGCTGCTCTCAAACTCCTGGCCTCAAGTGATCCGCCCACCCTGGCCTCCCAAAGTGCTGGGATTACAGGTGTGAGCCACTGTACCTGGTCCTGCTGTATATTGATTTTTAAAAGAAAACTGGAAAAATGCACATATGCAATAGAATCAAATATAAACTGCACTATATTCAAAATATCATATGTAACAAATACCATACATCTGGTTAAACATAGGGGAGATGCAGGCCTCACTTCCTCTCTCTTTGGTATATTCTCGTATCTAAAAAGATTTTTGTCAATCTTTACTTTTGTGGTTTGTATTATAAAAACAATAGGCATCGTGAATGCACTTTTTCAAACTATATATGCCCAGCAGAAAATTCGAATGCAATCTCCTGATACGTAGTCATAGGGTAATTTTGTCCAAGTCTCATATTTCATGGCCACCACCTCAGGTGTCCTGATAGGTTCATATGACTAAATCACGGAGACCAGAAATGGACCAAACAGATAGGTAAGTAAAACACCACAAGGCATCTTGTGTGTCAGGCTAACAAGTTTAGACTCTTTTAAGGCTTACTATTTTTCTATCGGAGTACCAATAAGGTATTTAGTATAATAACATTTATTATTTAGAGAATTACTACCGGCCGGACAGGATGGCTTATGCCTGTAATCCCACCACTTTGGGAGGCTGAGGCAGGCAGATTACCTGAGGTCAGGAGTTCGAGAACAGCCTGGCCAATATGGTAAAACCCTGTCTCTACTAAAATACAAAAATTAGCTGGGCGTGATGGTGCAGGCCTGTAGTCCCAGCTACTTGGGAGGCTGAGGCACAAGAATCACTTGAAGCCAGGAGGTGGAGGCTGCATTAAGCTGAGATCACACCACTCTACTCCAGCCTGGGTGACAGAGCAAGATTGTCCCCTCTCAAAAAAATATATATATATAACATAAAACAATAATAAAAAAGAAAGTTACTACTATAACACAGTGGATGAAAAATCCAGGAAAAAGAAAGGAGCAAAACAAGTAGTCTACAGTAAATTAATCCTGTATACTTTAGAGTTATAAAATTTGGTTACCTCTATTTATTCTCGTTCAAAACTCTGGACTTAATCTCACCTTCTGATTCGTATTCACTTGCTTTCTGCTTCAAGTCCTCTACTACCAGGTAGACATCCCTGTCCCGGACCCTGTTGCGTTCTGAAAGGTGATGTAAAATCTCTGTGGTCCGTGGGTTCACCTCATACTGTGGAATGGGATGATCTCCAAATATTTTTTTTAACCACGCAGCAACCTAACCATTAAAAGAAAGACAAATATTATAAGCCTTGTTTACTGTAATGGCTCGATGAGATTATGACAAAGAAGTGATCAAAAGCAAACTAAATGCTTTCTGTGACTATTTTGGAGGCCTACTTCACAACCTCACTTGTCTTTAGGGAGATACTAGATATCAGCAAAATAAAAAGTGAGCAAGTACACAATGAACAAGACTAAAAATTACCAGAGAACTATCCGTTCTTTCCCAAATCTACAAAAGCAGTACAGGCTAACAATTTGCCCCCCTTGAAAAACCTTAAAGCTTAATAGAACAGTGAGAAAGCATTATTAGACCGTGCATGGCCTGAAAAAAGCAATTGTCCCTCGATCCCCAGACGCCTCGCCGCGCCGGGAGGCTCCCAGTGTTGGGATGCAGGGCGCGGAAGCCGCTCAGATGTGGAAGCATCGGGGTGAGCAGCGAACCGGAAGGCGGGTTTGGCTTCTTAAGTCCCACTCCAGAGTCTGTCGCCAGGGGCTGCTCAACGCCTCTCCCAGGCCAGATCCAAACAAGGGGAGGCCCGGGCAGGAAGAGAAAGACATTTTTCAGGAGGGTCTAAGCACAAGGGGGCTTGCAGATAGTAACTGCAGCACTGAAAGACGGATGTGTGGAATACGGGAGAGAAAAGTAGACGTGGCGCGCGCAGGAGACCCGCTGGCGGCGCGGGGGTGTCAAAAACGCGTTTTCCAGGAGGCCACCGAGCCCCATTCCCGCCACAGCACCTGTGTTTCTCTCTCCTCCAGTGGCTCCATAGCTGCGGCTCCCGCTGGAGATGCGCCCCGCTCACTCCCTAGGCTCCGCCCACACGCCGTTGGCACCCGCCCCTTGCCGGGTCCGGGATTTCTGGGAGTTGTGGTTTTTCCTGGGGCTGCCGGCCGCTGAGCGCCTGTGCAAGGCTGGTCCAAGGCTCTGGCATCGCAAGCCTGGCTTCCTTGCCACTTCCCAGCTCTTCCCGCCTTCCGCGGTATAATCTCCACTACCAGAAATAGAGCAGCCTAGAACCAGGTTGTTTTTTCTTTCTTTTATTTTTATTTCTCGCTTGAATCACTTGTCGTTTAAAAAAGTACTTGAAACGTTTGGTTCTTGGTTAGCAAGATGTTTGTGTTTCTTCCACATTGATTGCATCCATTTAGAATTTATATTCTACCTTGGCAATATGAGCTGCGGCAATCTTAACCTGGTCCGTTAGTTCCCCCTACCTAAGAACTACGGAAATTTTTTTTTTTTTTTGAGATGGCGTCTCGCTGTGTTGCCCAGGTTGGAGTGCAATGGCGCGATCTCCGCTGCCTCCCAGGTTCAAGCGATTCTCCTGCCTCAGCTTCCCGAGTAGCTGCTAGGATTACAGGCATGTGCCACCACGCCCGGCCAATTTTTGTATTTTTAGTAGCGACGGGCCATGCTGGCCAAGCTGGTCTCGAACCCCCGACCTCAGGCTATCCGCCTGCCTCAGCCTCCCAAAGTGCTGGGATTACAGGCGTGAGCCACCGCGCCCGGCCAGGAAAATGTTTTTTAGCGGCGTCGATCTGCTGGTACTGTCACTGCTGCTCAGCCATTGTTCAGTTCATTTCTTGCCTTCCCTAAGTCTCTCTCCTCCCTCCATCACCCTGTATTTAAACAGCATGAGAGGTTCTTCATATATATTTATATAGCAAGGTAACTTTTTAATATGTTTTTATATTTTTGTTTCATTCTTACAGGGTCTCTGTAAAATAAATGGACACGTATTATTTTACCCATTTTTACATAAAACATATACACAAGGATTAAATGACTTGCTCAAGATTAGGTAGTAGAGTTGGAAGGTGACCAAACATTCTGGCTCCATTTGAGTGTTTTGGTCTCCACACTGCCATCAGCAACCTCCTATTGGGTACTGTGTTACTAGGAAAAGAGGATAGCTAAAGGAAGGATCATATACTCAACTTTCTGTCAAGTGTGGTTTAATATCAAATTGTGGATCAGGTTTAGCACCAAATATCTTCCTCCTAAGTCATTTGCATATTTAAAATGATTTTCTTTTTTTCTTTTTTTTTATATTTTGGAGACGGAGTCTCGCTGTGTCACCCAGGCTGGAGTGCAGTGGCATGATCTCAGCTCACTGCAACCTCTGCCTTCTGGGTTCAAGCGATTCTTCTGTCTCAGCCTCCCAAGTAGCTGGGACTACGGGCAAGTGCTACTACGCCTGGCTAATTTTTGTATTTTTAGTAGAGATGGGGTTTCACCACATTGGCCAGGCTGGTCTTGAACTCCCAACCTCGTGATCCGCCCTCCTCGGCCTCCCAAAAAAGTGCTGGGATTACAGGCGTAAGCCACCGCGCATGGCATTTTCTTTTCTTTTTGAGATGGCGTCTTTCTCCGTCCCCCAGGCTGGAGCACAGTGGCATGATCTTGGCTCACTGCGACCTCCGCCCCCCGAGTTCAAGCAATTCTCCTGTCTCAGCCCCTCTAGTAGTTGGGATTACAGGCTTGCGCTAGCATGCATGGCCAATTTTTTTATTTTTAGTAGAGCGGGGGGTTTCACCATGTTGACCAGGCTGGTCTCAAACTCCTGACCTCAAGTGATATGCCTGCCTCAGCCTCTCAAAGTGCTGGGATTACAGGTGTGAGCCAACGCGCTTAGCCTAAAATGATTTTCTTTTCAAAGGAAACTTACTAGCAAGCCAAGCTTACTTATTATTTATTTTATTTTATTTTATTTTTAGAGACAGGGTCTTGCTCTTTCGCCCAGGCTGGAGTACAGTGGTGATCATAGTTCACTGCAACCTTGAACTCCTGGGCTCAAGCAATCCTCCCACGTCAGCCTCCTGGGTAGCTGGGACTACATGTGTGCACCACTACACCCAGCTAACTTTTTGTATTTTTTTGTAGAAAGAGGGTCTCGCTATGTTGTCCAGGCTGTTTTTGAACTCCTGGCCTCAAGTGATGCTCCCATTTGGGCCTCTCAAAGTGCTGGGATGACAGGCATGAGGCGCCACAGCCAACCTGTGTTGCTTATTCCTTTTGCTTCAAATATATCTCTGCTCTGGCTGGGCGCAGTGCCTCATGCCTATATTCTCAGCATTTTGGGAGGCTGAAGCGGGTGATCACCTGAGGTCAGGAGTTCAAGACCAGCCTGGCCAACATGGCAAAACCCCATCTCTACTAAAAATACAAAAATTAGCCAGGCACGTTGGCACATGCCTGTAATCCCAGCTACTCGGGAGGCTGAGGCAAGAGAATCACTTGAACCCTGGAGGTAGAGTTTGCAGTGAGTAGAGATTGAGACACTGCACTCCAGCCTGGGCAACAAAGTGAGAACCTGCCTCAAAACAAAAAACAAAACAAAACAAAAACTAACTATATCTCTGCTCTGTAACCAAATTTCAGATAAACTGGTGCAGCCCTTCAGTATGGGGCAAAAAAAGTTATCTTTATGTCTTGTGTCCACTTTTATCACTACAAATTTTACAAAATATCCCTGTATATATATATTTTTTTTGAGACAGAATCTCACTGTGTTGTCCAGGCTGGAGTGCAGTGATCACTGCAACCGCCACCTCCCAGGTTTAAGTGATTCTCATGCCTCAGCCTCCTAAATAGCCGGGATTACAGGCATGTGCCACCATGCCCAGCTAATGTTTGAATTTTTAGTAAAGATGGGGCAGGGGGTGCAGGGATCTCGCTATCTTGACCAGACTGGTCTTGAACTCCTGACTTCAAGTGATCAACCTGCCTCAGCCTCCCAAAGTGCTGGGATTACAGGTGTGAGCCACCATGCTGGCTAATGTTGTTGTTGTTGTCGTCTTGAGATGGAGTCTCACTCCCATCGTGCATGCTGAAGTGCAATGACGCAATCTCGGCTCACTGCAACCTCCACCTGGCTCACCGCAACCTCCACCTCCCGGGTTCAAGCGATTCTCCTTCCTCAGCCTCCCGAGTAGCTGGGGTTACAAGCGTGCGCCACCACCCCCAGCTAATTTTTGAATTTGCAGCAGAGACGGGGTTTTGCCATGTTGGCCAGGCTGGTGTTGAACTCCTGACCTCAGGCGATCTGCCCGCCTCGGCCTCCCAACATGCTAGGATAACGTGTGAGCCACCACGCCCAGCCTTGTTGTTTTTATAAACTATATTTTTTCCTGTTAGCTTGTGAAAGTTGATTGGGTCATTCTTGTCATCCCCAACTAAAACAGTTTCGAGAGGTAAAGGGAAAAAAAGTACTCAGGGCACATAACATTGCTCCAAAAATGTAATTATCTGCAAGCCTGACTGCTGAAACTGCCTGCTGTAACCTAAACCAGTTTTATCTAATTAACTGCTAAAACAATGCAGTGACTCTTAAGAGTCGTTTTACCTAGTTGCCATCGCTTGCCAATCAAAACTTGCCAGCTCCCCAAAACCTTACTAGTGACAATGAACTTTCTTAAAGAGCAATATGTAACAGTTCTCTTTTTTTGTTTTTGTTTTGATATAGGGTCTTGCTTTGTTGCCCAGGCTGGAGTGTACTGGTGTGATCACAGCTCACTGCAGCCCCAAACTCCTGGGCTCAAGTGAACCACTCATCTTCGCTTCCCAACGTGTTGGGATTACAGGCATGAGCCACTGTTTCTGGCTACATTTCTCTTTTGCAAAAATAAAACCTCTAACCATCTCTTTGTTCTTCTGACATACCAAAGACCACCCTGTTTGTGTGTATGCCCTGAATGGCAATTATTGCTTCCTAAATATTTTAAATTTGGAGCATTCGTCTCTGTATTTTATTTTACTTGGATAGCCTTTTTCTTTCTTTCTTTCTTTCTTTTTTAAGATGGAGTCTCACTCTTACTGCCCAGGCTGGAGGACAGTGGTGCGATCTTGGCTCACTGCAACCTCCGCCTCCTGGGTTCAAGTAATTCTCCTGCCTCAGCCTCCCCAGTAGCTGGGATTACAGTGTGCCCACCTCCACACCTGACTAATTTTTCTATTTTCAGTAGAGATGGGGTTTCACCATGTTGGCCAGGCTGGTCTCAAAGCCCTGACCTCAGGTGATCCACCCACCTTGGCCTCCCAAAGTGCTGGAATTACAGGTGTGAGCCACTGCACCCAACTTGGACAGCCTTTTTCTACCCCTGATTCCCAGGAGAATTGTTGCTCTATTTCCCCATGGCTTACCTTGAAAAGTTAGTAGAATACTAGAGAAAAGGATGGCCAATTACATGCTTACAAGCCATGTTTCAGGAGATGACCCTTGTAGCCCAGATATTCATTTGCCTCACCCAAATTCAGGTTTTAGGTGTAAGCCAGGATTTGGGGGATGGAGCTGAAAATGCTTCTCCAAACAGTGAAAAGTGGACCAGGCGTGGTGGCTCACGCCTGTAATCCCAGCACTTTGGGAAGCTGAGGAGGGAGGATCACTTGAAGCCAGGAGTTTGAGACCAGCCTGGGCAACATAGTGAGACACCCCCACCCCCTGCTAGCTTTACAAAAAAATTAGCCAGGTGTGGTGGTGCACCACTGTGGTCCCAGCTACTTGGAAGGCTGAGGTCAGAGGACTGCTTGAGCCCAGGAGTTCGAGGCTGCAATGAATGGTGATAAACCCACTGCACTCTATCCTGGGCAACAGAGTGAGAGCCCGTCTTAAATAAAATAAAATAAATGAAAAAATAGAAAAGTGAAGGCAACGTTAATAAGTCTCCACTATGACATAACCAGCATCACACATACACACAAATCCTGCATATATCACAACAATCTCAGTATAGTAATTATGTGCAGAAAAAAAAAAACCCATCGGGGTAAGCATAGAAAGCATTTTTTCATCATCTCCGTTTTAGTCCAAATGAAGAAGTAGAGTTCCCAATGGCATGAAACTAGATGTTGGCAGAGGAAAAAGTGAGTCCTTGTCCTGTCCTAGTGTAAGACTTCTGATTCTGGACAATTCTCAGTAGGACTGGCAATCGCTGTACTAGGCCTCCTTGTGATTTTTTTTTTTTTTTTAAGTTCTGGGATACCTGTGCAGGACGTGCAGATTTGTTACATAGGTAAACGTGTGCCATGGTGGTTTGCTGCACCTATCATCCCATCACCTAGGTATTAAGCTCCGCATGTATTAGCTGTTTATCTTGATGCTCTCCCTCCCCCAGTTATCAGGATTTTTAAACAGTTTGCTCTAATTCACTGACAGGATTCTTTTAGAATGAATCTGAAAAAGCTGGGAATCTTTAAACTGAGTGCAGATCGGATCACCTGGAACAGTGCAGGTGTTTGTTAAAAATAAAGATTGCCCCAAATTTTCTACTCAGAGGGTCTGAGGTGGGGCTAGCGACCTGCAGATTAAAGGGCTCTGTGGGAGACGCCCTGCTGGTGGCCAGTCCCGGGGTTTAGCTGTTCACTGTTGCTACTCGTGCTAAACCGCGGTCTAACACTACCGACACTATTAATGACCCTGGTCCTCAAGACTACCGGGCCCCAGACGGGGTGAGGCCCTCATCATCTAGCTTAGCAGGTTCCGCTACCCACGTGGTCACCCGGGGCAACCACAAGGTCGACCCAAAAGACAAAAATAAATGTATAACGAATGCCAGGACAAAGCTGGAATATATCTAATCATTCATTTTGAGGTTTAAACTTAAAAATGTTACTTAAAAAATAAGTAACCTGCCAAAAAATGCACAGTGGCCCCGTGGGGCGGGGGAGAGCGGTGGTGAACGCGAGGGGCAGTACTTCCGGGTCAGGTGGGCCGGCTGTCTTGACCTTCTTTGCGGCTCCGCCATTTTGTCTCAGTCAGTCCGGAGGCTGCGGCTGCAGAGGTAACGCCTGCGGAGAAACTGCAAAGATGCTGTCCGTACGCGTTGCTGCGGCCGTGGTCCGCGCCCTCCCTCGGCGGGCCGGACTGGTGAGCACCGAGGGCCG